AACACATAGGCCCTTTTCAAAAATTACCCTTGAGTCAAAAGGGTCTCCTCTCCTGCGGAAAATACTTGGTCTATCATACTGAAAATATGTGCCAAGTATCATCCAGATTCAAGATAGTCAAGTTTGGTGACTGACCGAGTTTTGCTATTTCAAAAATTATTCATGGATCCTTGTTTTTATAACTCTTGTATGCTCAAATAACCTCGTTTATTTAGCAAATTGATTCTTTACGTAAATTGTGGATTCATTCAATAGGCAAAACTGAGTTTAATCATATCATGCAATTAAAATATTTATATATTGCATGAGTTTAAATAAATTGAGTGAGAAGATCGAGGTTGCTTGTATTTTATTATATTTTATTAATTATATATCGATGTGATGGATCTGGAATTTTGACGTCTGTGTTTTAAGGAGATACCTGCGATGGGTCAAAGAAAGTCTACGAGGAGGCCGGTTGCTGTTGATGCAGCTCCAAATGTTTATTTGGGTGCGATCATTCCTTTTTATTTATTTATACAGTAGCCCCTCCCTATCGTTAGGACATCAATTCAGCTTATCGTTTACCAAAACGAACCCTGCTGCAAACCCTACCCTCTTATCAAACATCCCAGTGATTCCTCGTGGAAATGCAGAGGATTTCTCGGCTTTCATCAAAGCGAGTGTCACGTCAACACATTCCTACCCATTCCTTTCTAGACCTGCGTTCGGGCGCTGGTATTGCCTAGTTTGAGATTACAAGTTTTTACACATTGAGGATGATTGCTAGTCAAAAGCATCGTCTATTGGTTCTTTGTGTAATTACAGCTGATCTGGAAATAACAGAGTAGCAACTGTGGGCGGTCAATCATGCTCATGCTCATGCTCAATAGATGTCATTGTTTAGAATACCAAATCTAAATCCCGCTAATCTGTACTACGAAAATCGTAAAGGCTTTTTGCATGAAAATTAAATAAAAGCCGATTCTGACAATATTTTTACTGTTTCCAAAAAAATTAGATCGCGAGTACAAATATGTATCCACTGTTTAGTGAAGTTTTGATAAACTCTTAGCCCTTGGCTAAATGCTCTCAGTAGTTGACACATCAAAACTGCTTGTAATCAATTTGAACATGTCCAACGATATTTATGCAATTCCTGCTTCACACCAATCTATTCCCCCACACTTCAATTCCATCACTTTGTAACACAGATCAGGAATCTCTTCGTAGACAGCATTACACCATCATCGCAGGTCCACAATTATACAGCAATTGCGGTCAACAGATCACATCTTCACACTAGTCATCGTCATCGTTGTCGTCGTCGTCGTCGCCATCGCTATCTTCCGACACCAATGCAATGTTGCACCTATTCCCCATCTATGAAAGCACAGCTTCCTCGTCACTTAGGGTAGGTGCTGTTATGCAAAAACTCCCCAAAGGCAGTGTCGTGTGCACACCATAATCAAGCGGAGATAAAACTTAGATTTTTCGCATTGTTCCTCGCGGGGTGCGTGTTTGCGCCGGTGCCAACCGCCGATAGTCGGGAGAAAAACATTGAATTTCCTACACACGTACCAACGCAATGCGCGTCTTATTATGTAACACCATCTCTTGCAGACTGACGACGACGACGACGGTGGCGACGATAGGAGACATCAGGATCAACAAGAGTATGAGGAAGTCACACACGGCCGGTCGTGAAGATCGCTGAAAGCCACTTTTGGTTATCTTTTCCCGCATACTGTTAGAGTTGTTCAACTCCGCACTCTGCATATTAATGGTCGGCAAACTGAGCAAGATCCGAAGGGGTGGCGAGAGGGTGTCGTGTCAATAACTGACTCAGACTAGATAGCAGACCAAAGCACCCCCCTCGGAGGCGGTTGTCATACTTCCTAGTGGGATTGCAGTTTGGTGCACCGCTCGCTTACAAACGGTCGATCCGATCCAATTTTCGTGCTCAATGGATATACATGAACCTAAGTGTCTAAATGGATGTCGATTTTTATCAATTTAGGTATAGGCTCAACGCGGGGTTCTGATGTGACAAATGGTATTACCGTGATACTATTTAGGAATAACTTGTTTCGAGATCGATCGCGTGGTTATAAAGAACAGGATTGTACCTATAACAACAATGTGTCGCTTGAGTCGTAAAATTCCGATTCGAAACGTATTTGTTATGACCATATTGCCTCGAGGCCTCGGTAAGCTACTTCCTCTAGCTATGACACGGGAAGTTTTCACTCTTTTTACATCAGATCAAGCTGATATGATTAGCTTCTTGTATCAATTTTCTTCTACCGGTCGGTGGCACTAATTTAGGATAATTTCATAAATTATGTTATCGAATAGATTGATTGATGCTTTCTTCACCACAGCTGGGCAGCTGATGAAGGCAATTTGCAATTTTTTTTATGTCCGATGGAGATTGAATCAAACGAGTCAACTTGTGTTAAAAGCCGAATGTGCTTATTTAGCCACGGAACAACGGGTGGGTAGACGCAGCATAGTTCCTGCTCAGTTGTTGTCGCTTGGTAAACTGCTAGCTGACATGTTAATTGAAGGTTTAATGGCAAAAGCTGCTACCGGAATATACTGGAAGGTAATTGTGTGCATAACGGAAATATCGATTGACGAAGAGTAGTATGAAGGGCTGTCAGTTTATTTCACGCATTATAAATTGGTCCTTGGAATAATGCATTTGTTGAATTCCATCAGCGCGCGGTTTTCTAATAATAACAAGGGATTTGAGCTGTCAACACATTTTCAGCGTAGGTTTTTTGCTTTGGAAATGAAAGTATTGACTTCAAATTTTAAACTTTATTATGAATAATGTAATAATTACACTTTACTGAAATCTTCGATTAGTTGGACAACTTTTGAATGCTTTCTGATCAAGCTGCAGTCTTTAAGAAATGTTTTGAATATTTCCTGCTGGGAGGATTTCAGAAAGTATATCCTGTAATTTAGGCAACGTTCCCTGAAGTTTTACAAAATTCCCTCAACTTTTACAAAGTTTCCTGGAGTTATACGAAATTCCATATATTTTACAACCTCTCTTAATTCTACGAAGAGCTGAACATCTTTGAACTTCTGGACTGACCCTCATCATCTACAAATATTCAAGAAAATCTGGAAAGTTCCTTGAAAATTAATGAAGTTCATTGAACTTTTTTGAAGCAGATCTCTGACAAACTGCTTCGAAGATCCCTAAACTGAAACGAGGATCTCTGAAGTTCTTAGAAGTTTTCTGATTTTTAGATCTTCGAGATCTAGCTACGAAATTTGCATACAATCTATAATGTTTCTGTACTTCTGCCATTCTTGTTGATTTTCCGTATGCAATTTCTTGAACATGAAGGTCTCCAAATAGTTATAAGGTTCCCTGAAATTAAATAATGTGTTCATAATTTCTGCGATGATCACCAAACTTAAATTAAGTTCCCACTTCTACGTAGTTTTATGAACTTTTCCAAAGTTCCCTGAGTTTCAACGATTTTTTTCTGAAGCTCTATGAAGTTCCCAAAAGTTTTCATAATTTTTAGGATGTTCCATTGCATTGATTTCATTCCAATTTGTAGAGCCTTCAGTCATCTTATTTGGCTATCGATTAAATATCGATAAAATATAAATTCATAAAAATCGTTGTTTGTGGTCTAATTTTTTAAATCAATATGAAAAAGTAACATCGATCCTGCTTGACGAAATTCCGGTGTGTAAAAAAAATGTCCCAACATTCTGAGGGGTTGGGGGAGCCTTTGCACCCCAGCTACACCAAAAAGGCCTTGAAAACTCTAGAAATGGGCTTGAATCGCAACTCGAGCTAAAATTGCCTGAATGGTCTAAAACAATCAAACTAGTATCAAAATATGTTAAAACCCTGTAATTTTAAGATGTGGGTGAAAGACAGAATGCCAGCTAACCACCAAGTTCGTAGGCCAAGTTGAGCCACCAGAAGCAGTTTTGCATTTTCAACAATAAACGAATATTTCGCAACCCTTTATCAGAACTAACGGTACATATGGAATGATAAATAAATTTGGAAGCCATCTATAATTATAACATTCCGTTTGGTGCTAAACTACGCTAGATGAAGAAAGACTAAGTACGGGTTGTGCTTAATAGGCCAGGAATGGGGTAGTAAACCCTATATGATCAATAATAAAATGGTGAATTCTCCTGAAAAAAATGATTTTAGTGGCTGTTAGCCGCAGCTTGCGCCTCAGAAATCCTACTGTGATGCAACAATGTATGTCATTGTCATACTTTGCATAAGCAATGTATTTGAAATTGCTTCAACAACACTCATTTTGCACAATCAACCACCTAGCGGTACCACTTGCTGCTTCTTATTTCCATCAGTATCAACAGCCATGATTAGCACCTGCTCGTATAAATTGCAATAACATTATCGACTCCATTAACAACGAAACCCAGACGCGCATAATATTTCGCACCATCATTCAGATAAATCATATCTTAACCTTCTTCCGAGTTCAATTCCTCATACATACGACCTAGAACCTTATTCTCCGTCACTTCACAAATATAAAGAATATATTCGTCTAATCATCCACCGGTCATCAACTCCGGTTTGCGCCGAGTCGAGTCAAGATGATGACTTTGAACATTCCGTCGAATGACCCTTCCCTTCTAGGATATTAAATCGATTACACTACAAACAACCGTTGCAAAAGCGATCCGACAGGTGTTGTTGAAAAATGATTCCCTTGATTGCTACCGTGCAGCGCAATCACACGGCTTCGGCTTCGTTGACACACGACTTAATCAACCGTGAAAGAAACATAACCTCCTTGCATGTGCCGTGGGGTACGACTACAACCAACGGCGGGCGGAGAAGATTTTGATCAATTGTATGCAAAGTACAATAGGGTAGTCAGGCAATCACAGTAGGCGACTCTGATGAAGCAATGAAATTTTGATGCATTCGTCACTTTCAATGTCCACTTGGATGGAAACTAATTGTTCTTTTTGTGTCTCGTTTTTAATTTCAGAATCCACCACCTACTCGGCTCCGACGAAACGTCGCAATGTCAACCGGGACAATAAGCTGATGTCGGTGTTGCAAGCTCGACGAACGGCACTGTCCAGGGATCGTTGGCAGAAGGAGTACCATCCGTCGTCCTCTTTGAAGCTTCATCGGCACACAAATCCGGCCGTGAATTTAGTTGAGGATAGTAGCACTCCGGAGTCGAATTTGATCATACCACCGGAGTCACGGATTGCTGGAGTGGACGAGTTTCTTGATACGGACGAATCGATCCATGGGATGTACGTGGTGAATCCGAGAACCGGGAAAATTGCTCTGCAGCATACGGGACCGCAGATCAAGTTGGCTAAGGAGACTAATAACTTTGTAGTGCAGCATAGCAATAAGACCGAGGAGAGCACGAAGCTTACATCAACGAAGCCTTTCCCCGGAAGGAGTTCGTATTACGATGGTAGGGGTAAACGGACTCGTGATCGGAAGACGTTTCCGACTTCTACGGAAAGGGCAGTAGACGACAGTGAATTGGTGCCGTATCAATTCTTTGGACAGAAACTGGTGCCTTCCAGAAAGACCGAGGATTCTAGGAATCAGGTTGTTCTTACAAAGGGTACACGATTGAATAAGCTAAAGGAGGATTCGTTGGAGATGCTGGAAATGTCAGCTCCAAAACCTTCAACGGAGAAGAACAAATTCTGGCAAACACGATTGGCGTATCAGACGAGGAACGTTGTGGCGTTCAATAACTACCTGAGGCGGAACAAGGATGGAATCTACGGAGTAACCCCTGTGCCTGCGACGTCTACAACGACATCATCCACAGAGAACTCGGTCCACTCGGATTCACTGACAAACTCAATGATTGCGTTGAGCAATCTTTCCGAAGGCCCAGTAGATCCGAAGCAAGTGTTCTCCAGAAGTGCCAACTTTACAACGTCAAGTAGGAGCGAGCGAATCGTGCAGAGTACAACCGCAAACAGCACGACTACAGATTCCAGCAAAACGACAACGGAAATTCCAGCGAATCACAAACCAGACGACGAGCTGCCGGGACTTTTCAGCCCGACCGGACTCGCCGAGATCTCTAAACTGATCATCAACTATCCGGATGATGCCACACCGGAAGATCTGTACCACGCGAATAGCTATCAACCAGTGGCGGACACGGTTCAAGGTCCTACCACAACCGAAAAATTGTATCCAGTTCCTGAAACGACACAAACGATCGTAGAAGACTACGAAACTCCTAGAAATATGGTTTCCATTCCAGATATCAATCACATTTTCCAGAATCTTTCGACTAGAAGTACGACAACAACGACTACAGAGATGCCAATACCTGTTAAGAGGGCGTCTCTTGCAGAGACCGAGGCCAAAGTTAGTACAGAACAGTACGTGCCGGTAACGGTTACGCTGTCTACGACCAGCACGACCGTGTCCACACCGGAGCTGACCACAACCCCCACCACCGAGCCATCGACTTCGAGTAGTACTTCGACGGAGTCTACCACCACCACAACTACTACCACCACCAGTACTACTACACCTCGTCCCACAACACCATCGACCTATCGAACACCCGTGGAAGTCTTCACCGAACCGATCACCGAAGTCTACCCGGAGGTCATCTACGAGGAGCCAGACTACTCCAATTCCACCGACTCCGGATTCAACCCGATTCTATCGCACGTGTTTCCAAAACTGACCAAAAACCCCTTGCCCTCACGCCCACCAACGTTAATGGATTTTTCTGTCACGTTCAGTTCTCCACCTCCATTGACGCATGACGCAAGTCAACCAGCTCTGGCTGGAACCAAAAAACCGACGATCGCATTCGAAGGAGTCTTGCTGCAGCACAACAGTGACGTGGTGATCGAGATGCGCAAAATGAACACGGCCACATTCATCTTGGCTGGACTTGGGATGCTGCCGATCGTGATCATCATTCTGTACGTGATCAAAGCAGCCGTTTGTAAGCGAGAAAACAAGGTCTCACATGACTTGGAACGGTACATCCCGGATGGTCAGCCACCGATCAGTCCGGTTGTTAGGTTGGAGCAATCGGACACGTCCAGCGTGGCAGATGAATCGATCATTACGGATCGGGACTTTAATCGAAAGAATTTGAGGTTCAAGAGTTTGTTAGGGGAGGGGAACTTTGGACAGGTTTGGAAAGCGGAGGCAGATGATCTGGCTGGACATTTTGGATCAACCAGAATTGTGGCAGTCAAGACGGAGCGGAGTGACAATGGAAATGGGGAATTGAAGACGGAAGCGGATATCATGCGAAAGTTAGGATCGCATCCAAATGTGGTGACGCTGCTGGGGGCCTGTTTGGAGCAAGGTTTGATGTTTGGGGATGATTGATGATTTAAGACGGCGAAATTGATCAATTTTCATGATTTCAGAACCACAACTGCTGATAATGGAGTACGCCATGCGAGGCCGGTTATTATCGCTGCTGAGGGCAGCACGAGGTGCTGTCAATGGATTGACGCCGACGATGCATGGTAATCGGACACCGATCATGCCACTATCGCCAAGGAGGCTAACGGGATTTGCTCACGATATTGCACGGGGAATGGAGTATATTGCCGATAAGAAGGTTTGGTTGTTATAAAGTGTTTGAACATGGCTGGCAACTCAATTAAAATCATATTTCAGATCGTTCATCGGGATCTGGCAGCGCGCAACGTCCTGCTGGATCATAACGGAATCTGCAAGATCTGTGATTTTGGCATGTCGATCGATCTGGAGAAGATCAAGTCATCGCAGGCGCACATCCGGGTGCCTCGATCACATCATAGTGAGTCAAGATTCAAGTTCGATCTGAGTGCTCGATCATTCGGCATAGGAAGGCATCACAGCCACGGACACCATGAGGGATTGGGAAGGCACGGCAATCATGGCGGCCGTGGGCACGATACCAAGAGCCGTCCAGCACTGCCGATCCGGTGGATGGCACCGGAAGCGTTGCAGTATCACATCTTCTCTCGTGAGACGGACGTTTGGGCCTTTGGCATTGTACTGTGGGAAATTGCTACTTTAGGTTACAGTCTTAAATGCTCGTGACTTTCTGAACCTAAACGATCTTTTATTTTTTTAGGATGCACTCCATATCCAAGTTTGTCCGGTCGGGAGGTAGTTCGAAGTGTTCCGAACGGAGCTCGACCGGAGATTCCTCCAGACTGCCGTCCGGAGCTGTACGATCTGATGCAACGAACTTGGCGGAAGGATCCTAGACAGAGGCCATCCTTCTCCGAGTCTCGAAATTGCCTAGCGAGGACACTTTGCCAGTGGCAGCTGGAGGAAACGGACACCTCCAACACGTCGGAATACTTGGACGTCAGTGGTTTCAGTGAAGATCTGGAGCAGGGAATGGTCTACTTCAACCGACGGATTTCCGAGTTCGAGTGTGAAATCTAGGAAAAGTGCCCTAAAATCCCAGCGTAGTATTACTCGTGTTACTTTCAGATCCCCGCCCCCTTTTATACCTTACACTTGGATTAATTTATTCCCAAGACACAAACCTTTGAATTGTATCGCTTTGTCGCGACTTGTTGTTGGCTTGCAATTTCCATCTATCGTTTTCCTGGCGAAAACCAGCTGGAAATGTTTCATCATTCGGAATGGATCCGCGTTTGTGTTTTACCTACTCTCAAATGTCATTGGCAATCTTACTTCCCTATTGTAAATATACATTTTTCCTCCCTCTTTGAGTGAGTGTGCGTTTGCAAAATATTCACTCACACACACACACACACACACACACACGCACATACATTTACCAAGCAACATGGGAAAATAGCAAATTTTCACCGATTTCTCGCGAATAACGCGAGACATCGAATATTTAACGTTTTGTGAATAGACATACATACATACATTCATCACGAAATATTGTTTTATTTGGAGTTTTCGGTAAGGATTCGAATCAATTCGGAAAGCAGTGATAAACGCGCATATAAGTTATAATTCATAAGCACAAGTGAAATGCTTTATAGAAACAGACGGAGACTCGAGAGAGAAAGATAGTAGAGCGAGATAGAAGGATGATATATGAAAAATAATTTCATGCAAGAAATTTGTAAATTTTTAATTCATCACGATCACAAAAACAAAGGAAGGAACCACGCGAGGGTTTCTCGATTCCATGTGAATGCATCATGCAAAAATGATTTTATTATTATTTTTATTGATAGTTATTTTTGTTTTTTTTTTGTTAATTCTTAGACTCGAATCAGGAAGAAGCACGTTCTTCTCTGAATAAAGAAATTGTGAAAACCTTAAGTAATAAACGCATTTATTGTATCCGAAATTGTCCACATAACCATGAAAACAAACTATCGTGCTGCATGGGATATATGTTGAGCTGATGTGTTGTTTAATGAAACATTTAAATGTAGGATCACATGATTATATCGAGTTAATACGGTCGTTGAATTCCACCTAAATTTTAGTTTTTTTTTTACTCAAATTCACAAAAACGCAGATCCCTCATAGATTGAATTAATTCCCGAGCAAAGCTGAAAATCAAATTGGAATCAAAATTTGCTGTTATGATGAAACTTATTTTGAATGCTAGAGTTGATCTCATCTGTGAACCAAGATGAGACGGTTAAACAGCAAAAATGAAAGCACTTATTCAAACGAAAAACTAATCCTGCATTCAATGAAATCAATTTAGTAACTGTTTTTGCATTCATCATATTTAAATGGTTAGCATCCATGCTTCTCACGCTGAAAGACTTGAGTTCAAATCTCACCCCGGACAAGTCACGAATGGCCCAAAATGTGTTAAACAAAATAAATAAACAATAATCGTTAGTTCAACAACATATATGTGTGTGTATTCAATCTAACCCCTCTGGCCGGCTGGTATTATGGAAGAAATTTGCTTACAACACTTCTTGATGTATTAACTTAAAGCAAGTTTAGTCCGGGAGTTAGAAAGCGATAGCTCTACTGCAAATTCAGCAACCTGGTAATTCACGTCCATTCCGAGGTTACTTTCACATACAATAAGCCCCGTGTCTAAACACTACCGTTATCATATGAATCATGGTTGGACCTATTTAGGCCGGTTGCACACGACGTCAACATTCATGTCGTATTTTTTTTATGAATTTAACATTTAATTATAAAAAATGCGTGATTAGGGGAAAGATCTACCTTTCTTGTTTCTAATAATAACATAAAAAATTAAATATTATGAACAAATGATTTTATAAAACGTTTTTATTAGGCAAAGAATTATGATGTTGGTTGGACCTAAAAAATGATGATGGTTGGACCTATTTTTGCAAATGCTAGTTTAGCCCATATTTGTTCAAAAACTTTGTTTAGAGCTTATTGGTATCATGAAAAAAACCCTTCCTTTACAGTTTTTATGAATTTGCTATTTAAAAAAAATCAAGAAATTTGAGTTTAACCTCGTTTTTAAAATAGTTCACTTTCCACGCATTAGCTATTCATCATGGCTCATTTTCTCGGAAATCATTGACCCGATTTGGAAAATTTTTAACGTCAAACTATAGGTATTGTGGTCCCATTGAAAGCTATCGAATATTTTTGTAATCGGTAAACTGGTTCTGGAGATATGGCCGGAATAAGTTCCAGGGTATATGGAACATGGACCTAATTTTGACATGGCAGTAATAAAACCTATCATGCGACACTTCACATTACTTCCAAATTCGATAACAAGATCAATAACAAAATTGAGTGTCTTGGACCACATTGGCCACTTCCGGGCATGTTCTGGGTGCCCCCGGGGAATTTAGGGGCTTAAAATGACCGTATATCAGAACTTAATTCCGGTTATATAGTTCTTTTTCTCCTAGGAGTTTTTTTTTCAGTTAGCAATTTTTAGTTTGTTAACATTTTATTTCAAGTTAATTCACTCACAGAAGGTGTATGAGAAGTGCTTAATGTAAATTCATATTAACAGATTGTTTCGGCGCTTTCGTGGTAGTTCGGAAATCGGTGGTTACCCTTTCAGCCAACCTGACGATGGAATTACTCCTTCAAATTTACGCCCAACTAGTGACGCAAGGTCTTTAGCAGCTTCCAAGATCTTTTTGGTCGTCTTGGGACTGCCAGAAGCAGCGCACATACAAACCCAATCCGCTAGCTTGTTCTCCAAATCAACACTCAACACTATTTCCCTTCCATTTCTTGCCGTGGCTTCCCTTAATTTTTGCGTGAAGTGTCGTTGTTGGAATATTGTACCTTTTCTGTGCCTGATACGCGGTAAGTGATTTATTTCTTACTAAAAGAACAGCCTCTTGAAGATTTTCTAATGGCGTATTCCAGCGTATATATATTTATAAATGGCGTACTAACGTGTTGTTTACACCTTAAAGCAGTATTTTACTGCATGAAAATAAAAATAAATGTAAAAATATTCCTTTTTTGTATGTTTGAAAGTAAGGCATAATGACGAGCTAATGCGTGGAAAGTGAACTGTTTTGAAAACACATTGAAACTCAATTGTTTTGAAGTTTTTTCAATAAAACACACATGCAAATTGAAGAAAAAGAGTTTTTTTATGATAGTACAGTGATCTTTGAAAAAAAAAAAAAAAAAAAAAATTAGTGAAGATTGACTAAACTAGCGATTGAAAAAATAAATCCAACCATCATCAGTTTTTGGACAGGTCCAACCAGAATCAATTACCCTAATGCAAACACACTCGAAATGTGATGTTTCGAAATCTGGCGCGTATTTAGTAATATTTGGAAATATGTAAATAATTAGCTGGATCTCACCAAATTCTGCCTACGAAAGTGCACCGGTTTGTTTACTCGCTGCAGTCGAAAAAATCTTCCGCGTTGTTTTCACAACCGTACACAACATTTTGAATCACATGCGAAGTTTTTCATTTGCACTGATTTTTTGCCTAACACCTCATTCGCGTGCATCCTCCGGGAGGCAGAACGCCAGCACAAAGAAATGAAAAAAAGAAAATACCCGGTTAAACTCTTTTTGAGATGGAAGCAAATCACCAAAAACAAGCGAAAAGAAAAACCGACCAGCAACACAGCTATTCGAAACAAATTATTGTCCCAGAGTTTTCACGTTAATTACAATATCACTAAAAGCTTATTCAAACGTGATAGATTTTAATTTACGCTTATCCACACGTGAAAGCTAATATTTTTTGACATAGTACAATTAAAAAATATGCGAGAAATAGATGAAATCAGCGAAAACAAAACCAACCATTCGCGGGCAGAGCCTACTGCGTTCTCGTTAGTTCAACGACATATGAACTTAAATTAAATTTTCAACAAGACTTTAACAGCAGAAGTTAGGTTGCTCTATTTAAAAAAAATGACTGCATAGTAAAAGTACAATATGTTATCAGACAAGATAATTGAAATAAAAATGAGTTTTCATTATGATAAGAACTGCAAACTTTAATATCGATTTCCTTTAATTTTGTTAACTGACTATTCTCGGGTTTTCCTTCGATTTTCCTCAAATCTCTGCGTGGTTATCAGGAAAATCGAGAATAATTTTAATCATTCCACGAGTATATTCATAGACTGATTAATATTTTTTCTTTATATTCGAGCAGATTTCCAAGGAAAATCTACTCAGTTTATATGTTACCTGAATTTTTGAGAATTTGAGTAGACGGATCTATAAAAACATTTAATACAGTAGAGTCCTTTTAAAAGGGGCCGTATGGTTGTGTTCGATCAGACTATTGTGAAATATTTACACCAGTATTTTAACATAACGATTCCAAATAGAACGCGTAGCTTGAGAATTCCACTGAATTAAATTTTAACGTTATTTTAAGTGTTTGGTAATATGCTGGGAAACTAAATTGTAGGGAAGTATATTCAAACCTTTTTGGATCATCGTACCAAGGTTGTAAATACTCATTTCGGCTTAAAAAATGTTTTTTTTTTAATTATGAAATAATTAGATGCCATGATCATATTTTGAATTGGTTGGATACAAGAAGAGGTTGCAAAGAATGTATTTGATATATTAAACCTGTTTATTTCGCTTCATGAGAGTCACACTCAGCGATTTTACCCACACGCACTCACTCACTCACTCACTTTCTCACTCACTCACTCACTCACTCACTCACTCACTCACTCACTCACTCACTCACTCACTCAGCGATCAGCAAATCGCTGATTGTGACTCAGAAAGCAAAATTTACAGGTTTTATGTTTCAAATGCATACTTTGTAACCTCTTCTTGTAAGTTACAAGTAAAACATGCCATCATACCATTTTTTGGTTTTATTATTCCGAAAAACATTTGCAACCTTGCGTCGTACCATTTGACCTTATGTTTTTTTTCCAAATGGGTAACCTTAAATCCGGCTAATTTCAAACGCCTTTTCAGCGGCCGACATGATATGCAAAGGATTCAGATCCTAAACAGCCCACCATGGACTCGTAATTCTGATATCAAACATCTGGCTGGTCTTGAGACACAGGAAGATTGGAGAACGATCTTCATTGACAAGTTTAGAGATTGCTATAGGGAATCGTTTGGTAAAGTTATTTAAAATAGTTAGCTAGGTTATAAAATTTACAAATTTGAATCATTTAAACATGCCTTTTTTGTAGGCTTAGTGTTTACCCGTAAGATTTAATGTATTGATTCGCATCTACGTTGCCACCGGCAGGTGACATATGTTCTTTCACTACCTTTCTCTCTGCATAATGATAAACCAATTCTTCACAGTTGCGCCAAAATGGAGCATAGATTCGTCCGCCTTGATCCAAATGAAAAGCGATCGGTCGTCTAAAATCTAGTAAATTGCTTACATCTCAACAGCATACGCATCCAGTGCCAGTGTTTTGACGAGACAGTACATTAGGAAAGATGATTTTTTTGGCTTCCAATAATGGCATTGACCAACATACCGACTAAATTGGAGGTAATGAGCAAACCTACTACTTATTATATGTAATCGTGTGATCAACACCGAGAGGTACTACTGCTGATCCTGGCTTCGACAACAGCTGAAAGTGAAAGTATATTTTGTTTCTGTACTTTTGATTTGGTCGAATGTTATGTTGCAAAAGTTGTTTTTATGGTATCGAAGTGTAATTTATTCTCAATGAAAGCATTGCATCAAATTTTTATAATTACAGCCACTTGAAAACACTTAGAGATGATGATGTAACAGTTGAGAAATATTCAAATAATATACTTTTATAAATAAATTATAATCGTACATGCAAAAAATCCAAACACATTAATTTTTTGAGTAAAATTTTTCAAAATT